CCGCGGCTGCCGGGAGCGCCGTTCGGAAAGGGGGCACCCGAGCGCTGTCCCCGCTCCGGGCTACTGAGCGGGGCCTGCCGGCGTGTAACCACTCCCGAGCGCCCGGGCTGCCTGGGGTCGCCTGTTACGCCCCGATGGGCTTTTTTCTCCAGCTTGGCGCGTTAGGTTGGGAGGTTCCCCAGGCAAATCCCAGGCTTCCCAGCATCAGGTCCTTACTAGTACCAGTGTTGCGTTTGTTCTCCGTATTTGTTTGCAGCAGCGTTGCTTGCGTTCTAGCTTTGTAACGCATGTACATATACGTCCTAAGAAAAAGCAAAAGCAAACGGGCAGAGCCTGTCCCAGCAGCTCTCCCGTGGAGACGGGGGGGTCATAGTGTGTGCCGTTTGTGTAAGTCACTGAGCTGCTTGGGAAGTCCTGTAGCGTTATATATGATTTATATTTTCAGTTTCTAGACTGTTGGGATAATTTTAATGTGTTTTTCGTGTCTGTACATCTCCCTGCTCGTGATTAAGCAGCATGAGTAAGTGCAGCTCGGTTTTGAGTTTGCATATGATGAACTCATGTAATTGAAGGTCTGAAGGAAGACGAGCTCTTTAATGGCGGCTTGTTCCGTCAGTTCGGATGGTAACATCGGTTGTCCTCCGCAGGTCGACCTGTACCTTAGCGTTCAGAGGTGCAGCCCCGCTTTCAGCTGGTTTTTAAGGAGAGCTCAGGGTGCGAGATGGTCACAGGGTCGGGGAGGTGTGGACGGCCTCTCTACACCCCAGGCAGCCGCTGTGCAGGATTACCCTTCCTGCGCTGTCAGCGAAAGAGCTTCACTGAAAGCAGCTCTTGAGAAGGATGGAGGCAATTGCCATTTCTCAGTGGCCAGGTTTCCAGTGCTTAGAAAAAGACTTGTGGCAAAACTGCTGGAGTTTTTGCCTGAAAAGGGAAGGAACAGTTTTGATGCGTTTCTAAAGACATGCTTATTTGCTACCCTTCCTAAAGATTTTTTTGTTATTATTATAAAGATATCAAGTTGCTCGGTTTAAGAGGTGAATTTTAAAGGCCTTTCCCGGAGAGCTGTGTTATGTTTTATGTAAATGCAGAGAACCCGTGAGCGTAGACCTGGCTGAGCCCTGTTCAGCCCACACAAAGTCTTTTGTCTTGCATATTTTGTGAAACTTGGAAGTTCACGGAAATGGTTTCAGTAGTTCAAGGAGCAGGTCGCTGAGAACTTAGAACTTCTCTTCAGTCTTTCCCAGCAGTGTATCTCACTGTCTCGATACCACTTGAAAACCGAAGCAAACTATTTACAGGAGTTAAACTCGGTGAGCGGTCTCAGTCCCTTCCCGCTGGCAGATCCAGGCACACAGTAGCGCAGGCATGAAAAAAACCATTGAATTGTGTGATGTGATTTTTTGTTTTCCTTGGGTAACCTTGGGTGCTACTGATAGCACATGGAAGGAGTTTGATAGTGAGGCGCAACCTTTTGTAATCTGGCGAGTCTGATTTACAAAATCCCTGCGACGTGCGTATTAATTCTGGAAAAGACTAAAGGCGAGCGGTTTGTTCTTGTGCTGGGCCTGCGTACAGAATTTCACAACTATTGACAGCCTGAAACCACGGATCAGTTTTTCAGGATGGGCAGTTACAGTCAGCCCTGGGTCGTCGTCAGTTAGAAGTCCCCCTTCGGGGGTGCGTGGCCTTTAGGAGATAACGTACACTGAAAAGTACCTTTGCCATTCTTGAAGTGCTTTTTTTTTTTTTTGGGTGCTTTTAAAGGTCCTGTACTCCAGACTAATGATCTTACCTCTCACTCTGTCCTACTTCTGGAGGGGTAAATGTATCTTACAGAGCGTGAGTGCTGTGACAGGGACACAGGTTAACAAACAGAAAGCAGTCATCCTTCAGCCAAAGGGGGAGGTTTCTGAATTTCATCATATATGATGTACGGTGACCCTTTCCCCAGCAGATAAGACTGTGGGTGCTCACATTTGGTGTGGCGGCAGATGATATGTTTTGCTTGCCCTGGTTTTGTGTTTTGTGTGTTGATATCAAAGGCAGTCTGATGTGTTTTCCCCTGTGTGTGGTTTTAGATTTCTGATACACTGAAGCGGTTTGCGGTAAAAGTAACTACAGCCAGCGTGAAGGAACGGAGAGAGATCCTCAGTGAGCTGGGAAAATGCATTTCTGGGAAAGGTAAAAGCTTTGGGGCACTGTTCTGGTTACCAGGGTGGAGAAGAATGTTAAAATGTTTTGTTTAAAAGGCTGTGTGAAACTTGTGGGTGGTTTTTTGAAGCAGGGGGCTGGCAGCGTTTAGAGTCTATGCTTTCTCACAGCATTAATTCTAAGCATGGGTTTTGAAGGTAACACAGAACTCCAGTTACTAGCATGTGTGCTTTTCCAGTTAGTAGTACATATATATATGTAGAGAGAGGGAGAGTATGGAAGGGTTTAGATAGTCTTAATAAAACAGTTGAAACAAATTTTAAAAAATCTTTTTGATTTCTCTCATTTTCTGAAGATGACTGCGGAATAGCATGTGCTCCAATTTTGCCCTTATTTTTAAAAATATGCATAAAATGTATAAAAAGAGAGAACTCCGACTATGATCCTTGCAAACAATTTCATAGATGTATAGGGGCTGTGAGCAGTTCACTGATTTCAGTTGTGAAGTGAATCATGTTTGTGTCAAAGATTAAGAGCTCATCAATTTACAAAGAAATATTTTGAAATACATCCTGTTACAGATCTTCCAGAGGGTGCAGTGAAAGGCCTTTGCAAACTCTTCTGCCTTACTCTGCATCGATACCGGTGAGTAAACTAATGTAGAAAGGCTGTGTTATTTGATCTGTCAGTATTTATTAGTTAAACTGGATTGGAGCATCTGGAAATGTTGGCGTGCAGTGTCAAATATATGCGTATGACACTGAAAGATGCCATCTAGTAATTAGGCTCTCAAGTTAGGTTTGACATTAAAAAGTTTTACAATGCTTACCTTGTGTTTCACTTTTAATTTTGAAATTAAAACTTGCATCCCGTGGTTCAGTTTGCAAGAATGAATGCCCGTGTCCTTGTGAAGCAAGACTAAGATGTCTTTTAGATGTCTTGTAGACACTTTTTAGTTTGGATTAAATTGTGGCCTGTTGAGGAGAAGCTGTTCAGAACCTGTGTTTTCTTCTGCAACCTGTCGGAAAGCCTCGGCATAACTTCTGTCAGCTGAAGAAGGGAATGGAACTTTTTGCCAGAAACTTCTCCTCTTCTTGGAACAGCAAGGATAAAATAACTATTAGCTGGACTGCTGAAATGAGAAAGCAGAGCCCTTTGTGTGATGCAAGTGTAGTAATGTGTAATGTTGGCAGGATTTATAATATTCATGGAGATTATTTTTCATTCTAGCGATGCAGCATCCCGCAGAGCCCTGCAGCTGGCGCTTCAGCAGCTCGCAGAATCCCAACCAGATGCAACAGCAAAAAACCTTCTGCAGTCACTTCAGTCTTCAGGGATCGGCGGCAAGGCTGGAGTTCCCAGGTGCTGGATAAGTTGCTTTGTGTGGAAGCAGTTCTGAGTTGCTGGTAGTTGCTCTTGTGTTCAGAATGGTTCTGCTGCTGCTTGCCAGAGGTGTTAGAAACACTTAGAGGCAAAGCTCTTAATGACCATTGAAATGTTCCTCTCTTACCTCTTTCACGTCTTCTGGGAACGCAGGACTTTCTTGGTGTTACTGCTGGTGGAT